GGCACATTTTCTTTACTGATGCGTTACTTTACTGAGTAAAGCAACGCTTTCAAATATCACCGTATGAGTGACGAACAACCGAAAATGTATTGTTTTATCATCTTCCGGACACAATGCGACTAAAGCGTTACTATATTATGCGTTACTGGTAACGAGTAACGCAAGCGTTACTGCGTTACTAGAAAAGTAACGCAACTAACGCTGCGTTACTCGTTACAAAAGCTATGAAAAATAAACGTATCTCGTTAGTAGTTACTGGTAACGAGTAACGCATGCGTTACTCGTTATCAGTAACGCAATAACGCATGCGTTACTGCGTTACCTGTAAAGAAACGGTAAAGCGCCACCCCTAGTTTATACTATCAACACCTTTGTAATTCTTGATGAACAACATTTCTCGTATTATTAAACCTTTCTTATATTCAAAAATCATATTCGTCGTTGGCAAGATTTTTTTAAGCATCTTCTTCAACTTATAACTTATCAGTCATAATCTTGGTTTCGCTACCAAATTATGTCAGTGATGTTAAAAAGATCTTTTTCTTTTTAGTTGTTGAAACATTCTGTCTTTATTGTTGTTTAATTGGTGATATTGATAAAAAACTTATAATGAGAATCAAATATTTTCCATTTTTTATTTTTAAACAAAACAAAAAATATACATCATTTAAATAAAATTTTGTGATTAAGAACGGAAAAAGCCATCATTTTCATTGTGCGTCTTTTAAGATCCCAACACCTCCAGTGTTTTTAATTTTTCTTTTAACTAGATTTTTCAAATATTCATTTTTTATCAAAGATTGTTGTTAAAGTAATAGTGATAGAAATATCTATTACCTTCGAAGAAGGAAAAAGAATAGAAAGTGTGCATGACTATCCATCAAGCCATTTTTTTCGAGACTAATCATCAATGGTGGTTTATAATAAAAATAATGGTTATGATATTTACGTATATGCATTACATCATTAGAAAGTAAATTTTTAACATGACTAGAAGTGAGACATAATTTGATAGACAGCCATGTGAAAAATAACTTCTAGCTGTGTTAAAAATTTACTTTCTATATTCATCAAGTCCTCTTTCACAATTCATCCATTACATCATTGTTTTGCTAAAATTGTTCAGCTGATATTTGCCATTATACGTGCGAACAATGAAATGATTTGTGTTAAAAAAATAAGATTTGTTCATCTCATTTGTAGTTAATATATATGAGAAATCGATAATATTGCAATAGAAAGTCATTTAGCTCAAAGGATCCTGTTATCATAATATCAAAAAATTGTGAATATCAAATACATTTAAACTGTATTTGCACAATAAAAATGTGTTCATACATTCGGTGGAAATGTTTCCTCGGTCGACTCTGTTGTATCAGTTACTCATGTTTCCCTTATTAATAACTATCATGATTACAGCTAATATTAGCTTATCAGAAACCGGTCAAGTTCGATCTGTTCCTGCACTGTTCACTCACCCATAGCTTTAATGAAAAAAAACGTTTGAAAATGATGTTTCTTTACTGCGTTTATTAAGTCTATTAGCACTCGATGAGAAGTGAATGAAGAATGCCAGTCAAAACGTGTTCGAAATATTGCTCTTAGTTTTCAAAATCGATTTTTCGGAAAGAATTATATCTAAGCATCACACGATTATCAGTTTAGGATATATTTGCTCAGGCTCGGTTAGTTACGAAGATATGAGCGCAATTTTTTCTGTTAAGATTTATTTACTTTTTGATAAAATACTTTCGAACGAATAAGTGGATTTTAAATTTATACTTACTTACTTTAGTATTCTAGCAAGAAAAAGATTTACTCTAAAAACTTTTAGCTTTTGATTGAAGATGCATGAGAATCCTCTCAGGTAAAATTTTTTGACCGAGAAAAATATCTCAGAAAATGTTTGAGAGCTATATCATCATTCGATGCAGTTGTGTGCGCTGATTTAGAATATCATCTCATTTTTACTGAAAGTGTTTTGAGCTGCAAAAAACGCATTTTATTCGAAAAACCAGGGGGAAGCCGATGCCAAGATCCAGGGACAAAACTGCATTTTCAATAGCCGCATTTCAATTGCCGCCGCTCATTTTTTACTCGCAGCCCCTGCTATGCCGTTAAACTTTTGTTGCCGGCGAGGGTGGAGAAAAATTTTTTTCGAAAATTTTGACTATTTTTGTTAGTACGTTCTTACCTTAGGCATCTAGTATGCAGCGCGTTTCCATCTTTTCGTATATGGAAACGTACAGATACAGTCGGAGCGCGAAGAACGTGCCAGAAATGAAAAAGAACGTTGTTTTACTTAAATTATGAGATTCGGTGCTGATAACCAATTTTTACACGCCGCCGCAGAAGGCGGAGGAAATTTTCATAGCCTCGCACCGCCGCCGAAAATTTTTTATCGGCGCACATATCTGGTCGTGACTAAAATAGGGGCGACACTGTTTCGTTTCTTTCCCAACTAAAGAAAAGTAAAAACTGGCTTTGCTTTCTCAAAAGAAAGAAAAGTTTTTACTTTCTCGCTTTCTTTTCCCAAAAAGAAAGAAAAGGAAAATATAATATAACTTTTCTTTCGTGTTTTTCTTTATGAAGAAAGCACTTTGAAGCAAAACCAAGTTCATGATCAACGTCGAAAACTGACCCAGGTGATGTGTTTTGCGAAGACTTTCCGAAAACACATCACTCGATTCAGTTTTTTACTTTTACTTTCAGCCAGTTTTTACTTTTCTTTTTTTGGGAAAGAAACGAGAAAGTGCCACCCGTAGACTAAAATCGATTTTAAATGACAATAGTAGAGTGTTGATAGTTTTATTATCAATAGAGTCTATGGTAGTAAAGCGAGTTATGATGTTGAATGCAGCAATCCACTCTCATAGCGTATATGTGACGAATTCATGACTACCTGTTTAATCAATAGATTCAATTAATAATCGTTTAGAAGTCGAGAATCATGCTTTATTATACTAAACCTATGTGGACTATAACAACATTAGTTATGTGTTTGTACTTAAAATTTCTGTTGTTCTGCTATATTGTGATCAACCTTGACTTTGAAAGAGGACAGATTAAGTACCCGATATTCAGTCGGGAGTCTAAACTGTCCTGCGCGCAAAGGGCATATTTTGTTGAAGTCAATGTTTTGATGACAGACGAAAATTTGCCAATATCTGAGCTCGGTAACAGATATAAGAGGAAATAAGTCAATTTCATAGTATACCGCGTGTCAAGAATGCGTATAATATGTTGTAAATATTTTTTTTTCTGTTACACGTTTTCTCTAATCGAGGAATCATAAGGAGAATGAGAAGGAAGACAACATGTTAGTACACGCATGCTCTTCTGACGAAAAATAGGTATCTATTACAAAAACCTAATGAAAAAAAAATCACTGTAAGTTGAACTGGTTCTTTTCACAAGTGTATTACTGAATGCGTGTCAATTAGATAAAATATAATTTTTGGCATCATTATCTTTAAAATTTAAATGCAGGTTAAATTGATCATACTTTATTTAGATGTGTCAGAGAGTATAGTAGAGACAATGAAGAAGTTCTATGAGAGTTGCTATAAGTCTGAATAAAAATCTCATAGAAATTACGGATATTCAATCAATTACAATGAAATGACAAGAATTCATTTAAGATTTCAGGTTCGAAAAATATTCCGCATGCATACACTTCACAATAATAGACCGCAAGTACTTAGAACACATTGTGCTTGTCGTGGTGAAGGCAGAAGCAAACCCTAGAGCCTGGAAGTCTCCTACTAATATAATAGTTCTCTTATTCTGATCAAAGGATGTGAAAATTCTGTATTTACATCGGACATTGCATTGTAACGGAAAGTCTATATTTTCATAAATAAATTGAGTTTTGGCTGGACAAATTTCAAATTTGATTGAATTTAAGTTTTAGCTATAGGCTTTTACGTCACTTCGTAAGACATATTTTCTCCTATGAAAAATCGACTGTGATGATTTCTCTCATTTCATCGCATTCGACTCTATACAACTAGACGCAACTGTTTTTTTTTATTCTTTAAAATATATGATTCTTCTTTTAGTTTGTCTGAGATAATTTTCATCTTTTTCTCATATAACTTTCATTTCTAGAAGGTTGTTAAATAAAATAAAATTCATTAAACATTTCTTCCTTTCTAATTATGATCTGGGGCCTGTTTCTTAAAAAAACTTAAGTTGAAAATCTGACTTAAGTCAAACTTAAGTCCAGAAAAGTCTTTGTCTTGTTTGACTTAAGTAGAAAATCTGACTTAAGTCAAACTTAAGTCAGACTTAAGTCCGAAAAAGTCTTTGTCTTTTTTGACTTAAGTAAGATTTTCTACTTAAGTTTTTTTACGAAACAGGCCCCAGGCCCCTTTTCCTAATTATAGAGATATTTTAACCAGATTTAAGTCGTTTTTAACGGAATGAAGCCGATATTAATCAGTAAGAGAGTTGATTCTTATTTATCTGCTAATGTAAAAATGTTCTTAAAATTCATCATTGTTAATTAGTATACGGACCGTTCGCTTTTGTAGTAGCAAGCTCACCACTACAAATAATAAGACCGACATATTCTCAAATGAAAAATGTTTCTTTAATAGTTTTCTCTTGCACGGACTACTTTTTTCTTTTCACACCATATTATACAATGTGAGAAGACTCATTTTTTTTCCTCCAAGTGTATAAATGACTTATTTTCATATGCGCGCCAAACTATCTTTATCTTTTTTCTAGCCTATAGTGACTGATCGGAATAACCTTCCACTGTAAGTGATTTCGTCTTGTCTCTCGTTTTCAAAAGAATATTATATCATCATATTTTCTACAGTTAATTGTCTTCAGTTTAAGCATGTCTTTGTTGTTTACTTTTCGGCAATTTCTATCTCCTGTTTTATTATATAGTTCTTTTCTCCTGCTATTCTTTTCACCTGTTTGTTTATAAATATATTTGTTTTTATATACACACCGTCTCATCGTATGTTGTCGTTTTTCAGGTACATTACCTTTGATGACCTTTCATCCACTGATGATTTAAATAAATTGTATCGTATCTTCCTAATCATAACTATATTAATCGTGATTACGATTACAACCGTAGACAAATCGATCTAAAGTTGTGAGCACTAGAAAATACTTAATCGTGCATAGAGCTAATCGTGGTTAAGAGCAAAATGGAACCATAGAGTACGGCTCCGAACTTCAATAAAATATGTGCTATATAGGGTTGAGAGTGCTGATCACAAATCTAATCTTCTAAAAATGTATCGTGTAACTACAATACATACTAAATCGTAGCTCAGGTCTTTCTCCTCAAAACCTGTATCATTTGCGACTTCGACTAACGTTATTTTTGAAAAAATACGCTTAATTAATTATAGGATTCTGTTTTCACAGTCTAGTCACCCTTTAGCAATAGCAACTAAGAACATTCTATTTATATTTAGCACACTCGACTTCACGATACACAATGTATTGCAATGAAATAAATAATCAACCGTGAAACAAGAACGAGAAGTTGCTTTTACAAGATTCGATATTTCTAGATTAATCATGAACAAGAAATACTTTTGATTATGACGAACACTGAAGAAGATAAAAATATAAAATTTTCCTCATTAGACTCATCGTCGATGAAGTTTAAATCACGTATGATAGATTTTAATCTTCGTCTTGATCGTCTTGAACGTGCTTTACAACACAGACAATTTCAACGGACAATTCAACGCTATAAGGATGTGCCGATCACTACAATAACATCGCCATTACGATCATCAATTGAGAAGAGTACAAATCTGACAAAACAAGTAACAAAACTAAATGATGGTAAGAGTAGTATGATCATCACGAAAAATTGAATAATACACTCATGTTTTTTCATTCTAGATTTGACAAATCCTGATCATTATACAACAGACAATGCTCGTCCGCCATTTACTTATAAACAATTAATTAGACAAGTAAGAAGAGGCTTTAAGATTTTTTGTGCTCGATCCGGGTACAAAAAAGTCTTTTTACACTTTTGTGCCCGGATCTGATTGATTTGTGTCCGGTTTTCATTACATTAGGAATAATAATGAGAAAGATCTCAGCTTATTATCACCATTTATTTACTCAGGTAGCAGCAGAAATAGAAAGAACAGGGGCTAGTTTCTTAAAAAAGCTTAAGTCAGGCAGAGATCATACAGTAAAAACCATTCGTATTTCCGATAAATTAGATTATTTTACAGGAATTTTTTGAACAAAATCTCTAAAAAATTATGTTCCGTCTAATTATGGTGGGTTGGATGGATTACTGACTTCAAATAAAGAAGTTACAAAATTTAAACAATTTTCTACTGAAAAGTTTAAGTGAAAACTTAAGTAAAATCGAGAGTTGGCTTAAGTTAAGTAATGTTTGAGAAACATACTTAACTAAAAAATGTGACTTAAGACGAATTTTTCACTTAAGTTTTGCTAAAAAATTTTTTAAGAAAGTGGCCGCTGGTCTCAGAGAGAATATGTAAGTAGAACAGCTAAACACCAGACAACGCATTTCCTACTTTTCTTGGTCTTCCGCGTCGTTTCTGGAAATTTTGTAATTTTGTTGGGTCTGTTACAATATAATAACCAAAATGCATCATTAAACCAATAGCATGCTTACATACAAGTGTTTTTGAATTCAGTTATAGAACTATCTTTGAACTAAGATGATCCAATAATTACTTAGAATTTTCTATTTGTGCATGCTATATCAATCGAATTTACGAAGAAGATCCTTGATCAACATTGCCGGTCTGTGAATACTGCATAGTACTTTATGCATCTTGTACATAAACATAGACGTATGTCACAAACAATATCTGCCAAAATAACTTATGTTCATCTTTACTTCTACTATTAAATTTTCTCGCACACAAACCGGGCACATATCTATCTCTGGGCACAAAAGTGTAAAAAGATTTTTTTGTACCCGGATCGGGCACAGAAAGTCTTAAACAAGCACAAATCTGTCTTAATTCCGAACGCAAAAAAATCTTCGTCCGTAAGGACTTATGATCTCTAGATATAAGATGTTCAAAAATCTTGGAATCGTTCGGTCTTAAAAGTAGTTTTGTCTTTTGTTTACAAATTAGTTTCAACTATATGTTCGGTACCCAAGCATAAAAAAAAAATCGTGAAGTGGGCGTTTGCAGCCACCTTATCCAGTCTTTAAGCCGTCAAAGCTAACTTAAGTGAGTTAAAGCTAGCTGACACGTTTGAATTCGGCGCTGATCGCTCAACAAGATCATCTGCTTGGGGCTAGCAAGTGGGCACTTGCTCGGTTATTTTTGACCCAAAAAATCTACGATTAATCGGGCGCTTGAGTTATTTGATAAGCTAGATATCCTTGCTTACTCTTTTCTGCCTGGGTATTTTTAGGCCATCTTTGAATCACCAAAAAATGAACTAGCAGTAAAACAAATTTATGAATGGTTTCAACAACAATTTATTTATTATAGAAAAAGTACACAAAAATGGCAGGTATATTGTCTATTTTATTATTTTGATGTTTCGTATTCTTTATAATTCCCGTTACTGGTTCTATAGAATGCTGTACGAAGTTGTTTGGCGGCAGAAAGATGCTTTAAACGTGTTCGAGATACTGTATGGACTATAGATGAAAGAAAATTTTTAGAACGTAGAAGATCGACTAAGACTGTGCAATTATCATCAACACAAAGGTAAAATTATTTCCATATGATTATCTTAATCAATTTTCTAATGTTTTTTGTTGTACTTTATTTTTTTTCAGTGTTCAACAATCGTCGATATCAACTGACCATTTATTTGCGGAAAAAAGTAATTATTCACAAGAACTAATCGATTCATCGCCAAATTCTACACTGTCAATTACGGAGGATATTTATGAAAATTCTGGAGTAAGTCCCATTAAACGGAAATCAAAAGCAGAGAAGTTGTTTTATATTTAATTTTTCTATTATTAAGACCAATAATGGTACATTATCAAATATTACACTTGAAACAGTTTCAGGTGTATCACAAACGCTTGAGGTTTCGCCAATAAGCACAAAAGGTTCGTATTCTTCAAAATTTTATAAACATATATATTGTTTTCTATCATTAGAGTGCGAATCAATGAAATTTAAGCAAGATTTTACAAATTATTCTGTCAAATTAGAACGATTTGAACACCAAGTGCGTGATATTCTATTTTTGACTGAATTCTCATCCATTATGTAGACGAAACATAATTATGACTTCAGAAATAAGTTCGACAAATAGTCTTAGTAGATTTCAAGCATTCATTTTTGTTGTTTAGTTCAGCAATGGCGAAATTATTAATTACGATCAAACATCTAGGTAAATAATTATCATAATCTAAGAGATAAATGGATTGATGGTTAAGGGCTTGTTTTCCAGAATTTGTCCCAAGACGTTTTGGGCACGTGTAACAGCCTATCTGTTTCATATTTCTGAAATCCAGCGTTCAATACTATACTTCACATCTTTTTAAATCATGTCTATCTTCTCATTTTACTTTTTTATTCCTGCGATACGTTTAAACCTTCTAATCTTTTACTCCTTTTTATTCTTTGCTCCTTTTTATTCTTTGCTCCTTTTAGTTCTTTACTTCCTTTAGTTTTCATACAGTCGAACTACGATTGACCGCAACTTGCATCTTATAGAATAACTAGAAGGAGTAAACGTAGTAAAGAACTAAAAGGTATATTAAATTATCTATCACTGTACTTCATATAGTTCACAACTAAGAAGATCTCGGGACAAACTTTGTATCTTTCTTCATCTTTGAACGGATTTTAAGTAACTTTTCTCTCTCTAAATTTAGCCCTAATACCTATTTTTCGTCAGCAACAAAAATTTTATCAATAAAATGTGAACCGGACACGAGCAGTAACCATGAATTATCACTATTACCATCTGAAAATTATTGTCAAGATTTGTTGAAATATGAGTATGATGAAAATGAAAGAATGAATGACTTTAGTATCAAAACATTAGCAACAGCAAACGATCACGATCAAAGTGAACATTTTGCGGAGCTATCATCCTATCCAGTCTTAGTAATTGAGTCAGCATGTTCTTGCACTATCGACAATACGCCAAGTTCAGACGATGATTTAGATGCCTGTGATCTAAGGACATCTTTTCCTAAGAACTCAGAATCAATAAATACAATAAATATGGATAAAATACCCTCACCAGTCGATCTTAATAATGTTAGTTTCGATCAATTAAAACTATTATATCTTGAATGTGTTGAAAAATTGAAGCAGAATCAAACTATTATTGATAACATGGATGTAAACACAGAAGCAGTACAATCGAAAATAATCGAAACCACAATTACTACTCAAGCAGAGAAATCCTGTTTTCAACCAATAAAACGTAGGGAAACAAACAACCCAGGTCAAAGAGTCACGACCGTATACTATAGTATTTCGTCGTATTTTGACGTAAACCCGGCCAACGTATTATGTCCATCGTAAACGACGTCGTTTACGTTCAAATACGATGAAATACGACGTTCGTAATGGCTGACGTAATACGTTGGCCGGGTTTACGTCAAAATACGACGAAATACTATAGTATACGACGAGTAATTTGACGTATACGACCGTATAGGACGGTCGCAATCATAGATCTGGGAAGTGATGAAAATGTGGTACAGGCCAGAGCTACGTATGGATGTAGATATATAGATTTGTAGATAAAAACAACTCATTCAGTTAAAAAAATCAAGTTTATCGAGAGAATAAATTTGTTTTTATGGTTTTGGGTTTCGTTTTTATAGAGCAGTATAGATGTGTTTGCTCATAAACAGATTTTATCATTTTTTGGGTGTCTAGTCTAAGACCATGCAAAAAGTTTTACTGACAACTCACCAACGAAAATCATCTTTGTTACGCTTCTTAAGACAACCGAAAAAACGAAAAAAATGGCAAACGAAAAAATGCGCAAAGTGCATTGGACTATTTACTCAAGTGACTAGACTGGATTCAACCACCCATACTCAATGTGTACACATTGACTCGTAAATAGTTCAGAGCTATGAACGAATACTAAACTTAAAATAGTACAAAAGACTCGAAACCTAACAAATAAGGAGGTATCTCTGGTCATGCAGAATGTATAGTGTGCACATGTTATCCACATCTTACTTGAATAGAATAAAGAAGATGTAAGTCAGAAGGAAACAACAATAGGCGACATTTGCTACCTACGACATCGAACAAATAGCATATAAAGAAATGTCTCCTGATTTTTTAGGCTTCTAATGAGTACAAACCTTCCATATGCTAAGTGAGAGGGTGTTCTTAGAAAAATATTCACTACTGTTTCTTTCTCTCAATATTATTCAACCGTTTTAATTTGTTTAGTTCTGTCTACCTCTTTGACTCCGTCATTATCAATCGAAGTAAGCAAATTTAATGATCATCAATCAACGTCATGTTATTCGTGTAATGTGTGCGAATGTTTTGGTATGGAGAAACACAGTCATGAAATTCACGTGTCCGATCAACAACATTCCAGAAATAAGAAACAAAAAGGCCACTTTGACAAACACAAACGATCTAATCAACGTTTAATATGGTGTACGACCTGTCTGAAACATTTTACGTCTCGGAAAAATTACCAAGAACATATCATGAAAAAAAACACAAAGAGGTACATAACCAGTGATTTATCTAGTGTGTAGGCCGGGTGGGCGGCACCCACCCGAAATTTCGATTTGCCTACCCGAAAATTATACAGTTGATTTCGTAAAAAAAGACGATGTTCTCTCTCTCACTTTCACTCTCAAAGTTTTTAGCCAATAGCCCCTCCAAAAATCTCAAGCGCCCACCCGAAAAACGAAATCTAGATAAAACACTGTACATAACAACTGTCAGCAAGGGAGGAAAAGCGTCCGCCGAACACGCCAAGACCCCAAGCGGAGCCATAAGTAGTCCTGTGGATGCGACTGCATCTGAGACAAAAGATCGAGATATATTCTCTAAAAATTAGGATTCATCGTGTGTACAGTGGTTTTTCACATTTTTATTACGTATAGAAGTAAAAAAACTATACACTAAGATTCACACTCGACAGAAATTGCCATGGTTAGTGTTGAGTTTTATAGATGAAAGTATATTATCGAAGAAAAAAGCCATGTATAAGGATAAGCAGACAGGTGAAAAAAATGAATAACTTTTCCATATCGTGTATATAAATATAGTAAAAACTAGACTTCTAGTGATGTAAGGAACCAAAGGAGCGACTTTTTTTTGTACAGACGTTTCCTTCATGATATTTTTAGGCCATCTCATCTAGAATTTATCGTAGATAATCGAAAACTTGAAAATATTTTAATTGTTCGCTCAAGGGTCGTCGCTACTCATAGATAGTCCGTACCATTTCACTAACAGATGTTCATCATATCCTAAGATTTTTAATACATGTAAAAATCATCAATAGAAAAGAATTTTTTTCTCAAATAAATTCACTGGTACAACGTTTTGTTCTATTTCTTTTCTTTAGCTCGACTCATATGTCAAAATGCTTGGTGCCTGATGTAATGCATCGAAATAATGTTTAAAACACAGAAACTGGATAAATGGATTTATTTCTAACTCATCGACATATCAAAGAGTGACTCACTCTTACGTCAAAAAATATATGTAAATGAATTAGAAATATGTCAAAACTTACTTTTTTTCGAGCTTATACACAGTTTTATTCGTTGTTAATTTTTTTTTCTGTTAATGTAGAACATTTATTAGTTTAGTAATTTTGTATATGTACAATAGAAAATCCTTTTCAACTATGTATCTGACATAAATGCTTTTTTTTTATTGGTCTATTCTGTTTATTTGAATGAGTTTTTCAAATAGACAATTAGAATAAATAACAGAATCTCGCCTAGTTTATTTATTTCTATCTTTATCTAGCAGTCACATGGGATATCTGCTAGTTAGCTAAAGTTGGTAGTTTTATTATTCAATTTTTTTTTTAATAACAGACAAAAGAAAATAGTAAAAATATTATCACTATATTTGTATTTTTAGTCATCCTCATCATCTTGAACTATGTCTTCGTCTAATTCGTCAATATCGTTATTATTCTCATCCATGTAACGTGTCGCTATTTTTTTATTTGCTACATATTTGAATGCTTTATACCAATTATTATTTGTATGTTTCAATGTCATTAATATTTTGTACACTTGATTCATTGCTAATGCTTTACTCGATGTCTCATGAAACCTTAAGATATCAAATTTTCTAGTTAATCAACTAGTCTACAATTCCTTGTAAACTCATAAGAATAAAAAGGGTTCCGGAACGATGTGCAAGAACAATGTTGCGCATGGATTCATACACACGAAAAAATGTGCACACGGGTACCTTATGCACGAGGAATGTTCTGTACCAGTTTGTTACGTGTGGACACTTGCGCACGGATCACACAATGAGACAAAATCAAACTGATGATGTTCTGTAATATTGTGAATAAACTAACTAAACGATGATGACGTTGATTTAAGAGAAATATTATGAGCTAGATTATTGATTTGATCAGTTATGTCTGTATGTGGATTTAATACTACATTTAATAAACGTTTATCTAAATGTTGATATTTCTTCTTTTTTTCTATTGATTCTCCAATGTTGGCGTATAAAATTTTTGTACGAATGGCCGAATCTTCCTCATCACGTAATTTGACAATGAATTTCCATAATGTTGGATAAGAACATTGAAATAAACAATCTATAGTCACTGATCGTATAGTAATGTAGCGCTATATTGCACAGAACTATATTGTTTACGAAACATCATCGTTTAGTTAGTTATTCATAATAATTAATTAGGTTCTTTAAAAACTTTAAGTTAAAAAAAAACCCTCTGACTACAGAACATCATCAGTTTGATTTTCTGTCTTGTTGTGTGATGCAAGCGTCCGTGTGTAACAATCTGATGCGTAAGATTCCGGTGCGGAACATTCCTCGTGCCTAAGGTACCTGTCCGCATGAATCCGTGCGCATCATTCCTAAATCCGAATAAAAAACAACAACTCTACTTTAGATATCGATCTAGTGGTAATCGTTGATGTCGAATATTTTCATGTTGTGCTTTTTCATATGTGATCGGTACTTTTTTAGCTAAAAAAAAAAGAGTACAAAATGATATTTATAATTACGATCATAGTTTTTTTCCTAAACAAAGTTGGTATATCAAACAACTAATTATGTCAAAAACATCTGTTCTTCTTAGACTTCTAGTACTAGTAAAGAAGTAAACTTTGCACTCACGTATACAACACGTTAATGTTGATACTTTAGAACTACCGACATTTGAATTTTTCATTAATCGTAACAACACCAGAGAATAGAAACATACTATTATCAAATATTCCTCCAATAACATAAATTGCATCATGATCAAATGTTTCCATTTCATTTTCTGAATCTGGTGTTAAATAAATTAATTTTTCTTTTGGAAATATATCCAGATAAGATTTAGTTGTTGATTGAAATAATAAACTATCCAACATATTTCCTTCAATAGTTGTTTTAAAAGCTTTTTCAACATCCGAAATAACATTACATAAATACAGTTGAGATGGCGAATGAAATCTAAAAATAATAGTAAAATTAAAAGAATAAAATATCTAAGTGTTCAATTGATATAGCTGTTATTGAATTTTATCTTACTTGTAAAGTAAATCATAACATTTATAAAGTTTTCTTAACAAACTTAGTAGATAATTATCTCTTGTCATTTCATGTTCAAATCCACAATCAATCACTACAAAATCTTCAAGACGTGCTGCAACAAATAATTTTTGTCGACGTTGAAGTTTATTAAATGAGTTATCTTGTATATAACGATAGATCGATCGATAGCCAGGATAATGTGTAGGTAATAGGCGTACGCCTTCAGCAATTAATTTTCGATTTTCTTCTAATTTTTGTAAATATAATTCACGTCTCTTTACTTGATGTCGAACACGTTTTTCTTTTCGCTTTTCTTCACCGAATAACCATCTAAAAATGGAAAACTAGTTAAATATTTATACATATCTCCACTTTTAATTGTTTAGTTACTCGTATGTAGATTTTCTTTTATATTCTATTGAACATTTTAACATTTTATCCCAAAAATGGTCGGGAATTTTTTTTGGTATCAAATAATTCTTCATATCGCGTAACACATCCATCTCTAGAAGAATAAAACGACGTTTTTCGTCATCGTTCAGCTCCGTGAACGACTCGTTAACATATCGGAGTAATGTTGAACATAGGATGTTGATTAACTGGAAGTTTGTCACACCAGACAAACAACACCAGCATTGCTTGTACGGATATCGTGCGACAAAAGCTTTGAGCACATAAGACGGAAGCATCTAAAGAAAAAGAAAATAATCTTTTTTAAGTGCAAAAAAACACATACCTTTACTATTGGAGATAATATTTCTGATCAAATATCTAAATTATCTTTGTCACAAAATAATCGGTATCATGCAACTTTAGGACGCAATACTACCTGATTATTTTAAAATAATAGTAATCTACGATGCAAAAGTAACTGGACAAATGTCTCTCCATTTTTCTTGTGGTAAAGCACGTTCCGAGAATATTAAAAATAGTTATTTTGGATGTATACTCCGAGAGCTTTCTAATTATGTGTTCAGAAATATTCTATCACTTTTAGTCTTCTGGCAGTGATCGAATTTTTGTTACCACCAAAAATTTAGACTATAACGATAAAAATTTTGGATATTTTTTCATTTTGACAATAACCACTTCGAATTGAAGGATTAAACTTTCATTTACTTAAAACTGGTCAAACTTTTAATTTTACCAAAAGCCTGCAATGTGAAAAATTGTGTTTTTCTCCGAAATCCTTTTTTGGTAAAAAATGATGTTCAAAAAAACGCGAATAATTTCCGACCCTTATGTTGTATATCCTATTTTAACATCTTGTGTAGAGAATTGTCTATTCTACAATCTTATGCCGTAAAAACGTTTTAGTAATGTACTACAAAAAATTTATATAAGAAATACAGGTACTGAGCGGAGTGTCTGATGGGCTCACACGCTTTTCCGCTCTGGAAAAAGTATTTTCTTTCAGGTCGGGGGACAGAACTGTAGCCATGGAGGGGGATTGAGGGAACCGATCTTCCCCCTGGGCTTTTGAAAAAATGATTTTTTCCACTGAAAACCGTCAGAAACAGTTGCTAGTTGAAAAGACACAGTATCTCTGAAGGCAAAAAAATTGATTCGCCCCCTTCGCAAAAATGATGCCAAAAAGCACTAGCAAACAAAGTTTATCCACAAGAGACCTTCCTTGTTTTTTGATTTTGCCAAGCCCATGACTTACATTTGTCGAAAAATACCAGATTTTCTTTTTTTACAAACTTAGTTTTTAGAGCATAGCAAAGATTCTGAGAAGACTAAAAGAGATAGAAAATTTTTGAACACGCAGGTCGAAAGCTCTTTAAATGTAGATTCTGAACAAATTTTTTTTATTTTTCCGCAATTTATTTTATCACAAGAAAAATGCCGAGATATTTTGTCCAATTACTTTTGCATCGTAGATTAGACGAATCAACTATTAAATTCTATGCTCACTATAATCTTTTATTGTTCTGCCTTCTTGAGTTTGTCAGAAATGACTTGTTGCTACAAACACTGCTGATCCAAAGAAGGAACACTTCACGCACCATCATCATCGAAAACGAGGTAGATTTAAAAAATCTAAATTTCTGCACTTACGGATATTCCATATTTCTCTCGCTCAATCAACTGAATTTCATATCAGAAGACCCAAATCCGCTTTTTTATTTCATCTCAAAACTGATAATTAGTTATTGAAAGGTAGATGTTAATAATAAAGTTTTGGGTTGGCTATTCTCTTTCTTCACAAGTTGACCAATTAATATTATTGGAAGATGCATCCACCGACTAGAACTTTGGGATATGACCTAACTAGGTATTAGTATTTTATAATCCTTTCTTTTCGTCTCTGATAGAAATTTACTTCGTGCCTTTTCTCAAGTCCTATGAATTGTTCCTTCCAAATAATACCACAAATGAAGTCATTGTCCACGTCAGGGAACGTTGATTGTGGCTCATTAGACCGTATAAGACGGAAACTATATATTATAGATGGAAACTATATATTATACATGGAAATTGGAAAAACGATTTTTTCACTTTCCTGGACAAATCCTGTGTAGAAATCTTGCGAAAATATTATTATACGATATATATGAAGGACATTGTTCAAATTTCGGCGCAACACACTAGCAATAGCTGTCTCCTTTACATTTAAGGATACGATTGTATATCACCACATATGGGTAAACAAGCATTGGTCTTTGTAAGAGTCGAAAGAACCGGCATCTGCTACAAATGATTCGACTGGAATTAGAAGTGATAATGGTTCTGGTTAAGGGTATCCCCCTCCTTTTTTTACCATCTTGGAAACCGGGAAAGCCGATGTCGGATCGGGTTTAAATTCATACCAGGGATAGAACATCGAAAAAGAAAATCATTGTATTTTTGCCCAGAATTTTCTGACGTGTTCTTCTATAGGGTTCGCCAGCTTTCATTGACACACATTACCATCCTTCGAAAAAATGGTCCGATCGAGCTCCAAATTTTACCAGAGATACTTTAGGCTCTACCTCAGATTCGTTTTTTCTTTTCGAAAAATATGCTTTCCTTCTCAAGATATTCGAAACATACTGAAAATCCCATATAAAAAACCGATTTTTTCATTTTGAAAACCTGGTCACGCCCAACGTTGAAATCGAAAACGCTTTAAAAAAACAAAAACCTTAGATAGGGTCTGAAGTATGTTGTCAAATTTTGAGCTCGCTCGTACCATTTTTTCGAGCGGTTTTGTTATGTCTGCCAATTGAAGAAACTATTGAAAAAACGCACAATGGGAAAAACACATTGAACACAGGGGACTTTCCTCTACATCAGACTATGTTCAGCTCAAAATGAAAACTTTTCTGCAAAATAGAGAGGGGAGAGTGGTACCCTTAATCAGAGTCGGTGCAGGTCTGTACATGGGACTTTGTTAGCTATTTTATCTTGCTCACTATTTTCATCCCAAAAGGACTATAGTTTGTTTTCCAAATGTACTGCTTCAAGAATGATCTTTTTCCGCTAATTATATAGATACGCGTTAAAAAAATAATATTACCTGATTGGTTCATATGATATGTCTGAAATAACTTTTTCAGAAGACAGAACACTAGATATAATAATGAAAAATTTTTAAATGTGTTTAAGTGGTTTGATATGACGTACCAAAAATATTTATTTTTTATGAATCTCTTTATCATCTGATGTTAGCCAAGATTCATGGAGATCTTCAATATCATGATGATGCAAAGCAAGTTGTTACTACTGCCAATAGTGATAGCCTATGGTTCATGTAGTAGAATGTTGTTATTAACCTATTTATTAAACATGTGGTTTTCAGATCGCTCGCGGCGTATGGTAGGAGGAATGACTTATGTCATAATATAATACTTTTATTATAAAAAAATTCAGATTTTAGAAATATTCCGCAAGCTAAGATGATATAAAACACGCAATCAATTTTTTTGAAAAACGGGTACCTCGACATATCAATGGAGCAAAATACCTGTTCGAAGATTTTTTTCGTTTTCTTAGGTTGGATATTGAATCATTTCAATTGGTAAATTTGCATTCGTGTATTTTTAAAAGAGTATTTTGCTTCTAGTCTAATAAGAAAACATTTGAAGATAGTGATGTTGTAGTTTTACCTCATGTAAACATTTTCGTTTAAACTTTAACATCGCCCATTCTACAATAAGGATATAATTGTACGTTGGATATGTGTAGTTTAAAAAAGAGAAAGAATTTTGGTGAAAAAAGTTAATATTATAAACCACTATATCAAGAACTAGATAAACATGTATCATTTATAATTTTGGTTTTATTTTCAACATGACGACACCGTGAGAGTCGATTGCTGTTGCATTATAATATTGCTGAAAATTGCCAAGATCCTCATGTTTCCATAAATCTCTTACTGTTGCTATTTGTTTTTCGTTGAATCCAATTTCAGTCCAAAAAACAGTGATCCCTTGTGTCCGTAAACTACGGTTGAATAACAAAACTACTTGAGCACCGTCTGCTAGTGGACCAGCCCATACTTCTAAATCATTTTGTAAATCTAATCGTATTTTTTTACCTTGCACACCTAATGCATCTTGATTTACATCGATTACTTCTTGATTTGTCAATATTTTCAAAGTATCGGCACTCATATTTGTCACATCACAGCCGATTAACAGTGGAGCTTTTGCTATAGCCCAGAGACTCATGTGAGAAATATATTCTACTGAAGACATATGACCATTACCAATTTCAAGCATATCTAAAAACAAGGAAAGGAGAAATTAATTATATTATACACACTTAAAAGAGAAACCATTTTACCTGGATCATTCCATCCACCTGGAGCAGCTGCTTCTGCAAATAAATTAGTAATATCAATATTTATTAACATTGACGACCATCTATCATTAATATCGCCCGTTGTTCTCCAACTATTGCCAATTTGTGGTGCCCAAAGTGACGGTAGATATTGGCCCCATTCACACATCGAATAAAAAATTGGACGACCAGTTTTATTCAACGCATCTCTCATTACTGGATATCTAATCATCGGTAGAATGTGTTCAGAATAACAATTGTCATATTTTAAATAATCTACTCCCCACGATGCATATGCTTCAGCATCTTGTGTTTCAAAACCAAGAGAACCGGGACGACCTGCACACGTTTGATTTCCAGAATCTGAATATAAGCCGAATTTTAAATTTTTTGAGTGTACATAATCTGCAAGTGCTTTCATTCCACTAGGAAATGTTTTTGGATCCTCATGAATTATTCCATGTTCATCTCGTTTATATGCCCAACAATCGTCGATATTTACATAAGTGTAACCCTTAGATGCCAGACCAGAAGAGACTAGAGCGTCTGCAGTTAACTTGACGATTTGTTCATTTATACCACAGCCATAATGATTCCAACTGTTCCAACCTAAAAAATCAAAATTTCATGTACTACGAATCTAAACAAAAATCAGAATAAACGTACCCATTTGAGGAGTAAGACCTAGTCCATTATCAAGTGCCACAATTACTTTTATGTATAATACAATAAAGAAAATTATTCGAATGCAGTTCATTCTTCAAAACTAAAATGATCAAAAAAATTAAGTTTTTTTAATGAGTAACAATATGTTTTAGAATATTAATTAATTTGAGTGATTTCATTTCTTACTCTTATTTTTTTATTCAAAATAAACTCTAATGTAATTTTCTAGAATTCCTCTTATTTATCTAATACTTACCTAGATTCTTCAAGTTAAATAGTAATATACTCTGTTTGTTTTCTGAAGAGACATATGTGTTTTTGTTTGTATATTTCTTACCTATATATATCATTATGTAAGACTTTTCACATGTAAGTCACCGTATTATGTGCCTGTATCGCACATTGTTACCTGTGGAAGAACGGGAAAAAAAACAAAGACAGACAAATGTTTTTTCTGTTCCAACAACAGACAAGAGAACATCATAGAAAAAAAAGTTTAATTTTAGACGTCTGTTAAACATTTAAAAGGAATGAACAATATATCTATCGTGATTTTTACTTTATAACAGAGATTAAACTCGTAAGGATTTGAGTTTAATTCGAGTTAGAAATTTTAATGCAAGAAGTGTTTTTCTTTGGATTACAAGTAGAGAAAAATAATTAAATCAGATATCAAATTTCATATAAAAATTACAGTAAAGGAGGGTTTGTTATTTTCCCTTATGTAGAATACTACTTATGTGGAATAATGAGAGTGAGAACAAATTATCAGCCTTACGATGTTACACACTACTCTAGACGTTCGAATTAAAACTTAATCAAATCTTAGCTGAGAACTACTAACAATCCTATTTAGTCTCTGTTCAAAAATCCTATATTTTTCTTAAAAATCCATGTTATTCAATTTAGACAAAAGGTGTTGTCACACTTCGTACGTCTCTATAATTATGAAACATATGAAAAGAGTGTGAATAATTTTTAATATAAAGTTTATTATAGCTCGTCAAACTATAATCAATTATATGAAGTTATTTGTTAGTCAATGACATTCGTGACTTAATTCTTAAAGTGTGGAACTTCTCTAAAAAAATTTTGATTTGATGTTGCTAGTTCAGTCAATTTGTATGATAAAATACTCATATACAATGAACGGCCGTTAATAATTTTTTTCCCCTAACCATTTCGACTGAACAGATAAAATTTTCAATGTACAATATGTGATATGTACATGTCTTGTTATATAAATTATTTTTTTTGTTCTATTGAACGGCATATATTGATTTCTCGGCTATGAGGACATGGTTGTCCGTCAAAATGAACTAGAATAAAGTTGACTGCATAATTTAAATTTAACAAATAATTAGACAGTCAATATATAATTGCCTTTAAATAAGACTATATTAACTTTGAATTTTACACACAGGTAGAATCATTATCGCTGATAATTTAAATTTTTTTTGTCACTGGGACGAAATATTCGGTACGTCTATATAAATCTAAATAAAACATACAAAAACGACATTAAATGAATTTGATCTTGAAGAGAATATAGTATACAAAACTTATTGTACGTTCGGTTCGATAGAGTCACTCGGAAAAATTTTTAATAAAAATTTACTTGTTATTTCCGTTGTACAAAAGAAAATAAAAATCTTGCACTTATTGTTCGACAAAAAAGTTTAAACTATGAAATCTAATCAAATGACAAAGCCTAATGTAAGATGTTTCATTTTAATTTCTTATAGATTACAATGGCGACAAGATTTGAACGTTTCCCAAATGAACTTATTCTATCTATTTATGATTATCTTTCTCCTACACACGTTATTTATGCTTTTTATATGTTAAATTCTCGTTTTGATTGTATGATTAATATGTATTTTATTCAGGAAACATCCATTAGTTTAGTTGATGTTGATGAATCAATGTTTCATCATTTTCGTTGTAAATTATTTCCAAAAATTCAAACTCATATTACTAGATTACGATTAAGTGATATTTCACAAATTTTAACAAAAAAATTTTCTAAAAAATTTTCAAATTTATCATCGTTACAATTAGTTTTTAATAATATGAACGATATACGTACACTTTTATGGTATTCAAAATCATTAGGAATATCTAAAGTAAGTGAACACTAGTGGTACGAAGTATAAACAATGTAAATACAACATATTGTTGTTTGTATAAATAGTTGGACAAATATTAATATGAGTTTGATGATATTTGATCATTATTTCTAGTCATTGGTTGAATTATCAGTTGTATTTGAAATATGTTCTCATCAAGATGAAACAAAAGGATTATTAAATAAATTATATCGTTCGTTACTATTTCAACCTGGACGAAAATTATGTTCATTAAAATCACTTTCAATTACTGGTCCACCTTGTTTATCATTGACAATCAAACAATATCTAATGAGACCATGTTATTTAAGACGTTTAACAATTCATTTAATATCGTACAATGATTTACTTATTTTGTTCAATAATTTACCATTAATTGAATATTTTAGCGTAGCATTAGAAGAAACAATTAGTAAGAAAATATATTTTTATTCGTACTATTCTATATGTTTTCATTTTTTTTTAGCTGGTATTTATCCGTATACATATGAAAATATATTTTCTGGCACAAAACTTTTATCTGAATTTCACTTTTATTGTCCATCAATAATTAATTATGATCTTGTTGAATTATTACTTAAACAATTGGTAACACTACGAAAATTATCACTTCGTCTTTGTTGTAAACTTTCAAATGGTATTATCGATGGTCAACGATTAGAAAGTGGATTTTTAAGAAAATTAACACGTTTAGGTAATACTGAACAGTTGAACTATTTTTTGATATCTATCATTGGATATTTGTTTTTTCTAGAACAATTTAATTTTTGTATATGTTCATGTTACGTGGATAATGGTTTAGGTGTAATTGACGATTATTTTCTCTCAACATTTCAGACTGATTATTGGATTAAAGAAAAACATTGGAAAATTGGATTTTATTCTATGCCCTATGCATTCATTTTTTATATTACATTTTCATTACCATTTGCATTTGATGTATTCGACTCAACTTCAACCGATCTACTTAAATATCGCACTAATTTTGTCAGTTGTAATGATAATGGTGGTGATAATTGGAAACAAGTCAAAAATCTTTACCTATTCGATGATAAATTATATACGCGAAATTTTTTTCAATTAATTCATGATAAATTTACAAACATTAAACAAATTACAATTGAAAATCATTTAAGCATTGGTAAGAACACTGGTCGGACTCACTACTATCAGAGGAAAAGAAGCCGATGAGGAATGGAGATCTTCGATCAGTATCAGCACCGACTTGTATGAGAATTGAAGTGTGGTGACTTTCTCATGAATATGTGAAAACTAAAAAGTTCAGATCAGTCGGTTCAATCGAATGCTAGCTGATCATTCGTACAGTTAAATGTTGAACAGCATTTAGCGGCTATAGGTATGATATTAAAGTGGTCGTATCGACAGTCGTATATAACTGCTCAGAATACCTCTTATTATCGTATAATAAATGCATTGTACTTTCTTCTCTTTCTAGAAAGTCATGAAAAAGTTGTCCTACTACCAAGTGTTTGTAGTGTTCGATTTGTATCGTTAAATAAATATCGTACAAATGCTGAACATGTAAAACAATTGTTACTAATGACACCAAATATTCGTCGATTAAAAATAAGTTATATTTTATTGGCACGAGCAACAAATTATTTTCGTGATCAACAGTTACAAAAAGTATGTTCAAATGTTGTTCAGTTAGATATTGATTCATATCCACAACAATGGTCACATAGTGGTGGTTCATTGATGAATCTATATGCTCAACGATTCAAAACGTATTTTTCTAATTTATAAAAGAAACATGCGATTTATACGTAGAATGAATAGTCGAAGAAGTTTAGAAGTATTTGTTACTTGCCATTCTAAACGATCATGAAAGATGGAAAGTATGAAGTATTATTTAATTGATTAGCAGCCTCACTGAATCAGAATGTACCATTGCAGTCAAGGATTCAAGCAAATCGCATATGAGCGATTTTTGTTATCGAAATACGTATTGGTTTATGCCAATGAAATGCCTGGATGAAAGATTTGGTGATATTCAATCGCATCCTTAACCAATTTGATTTCCGATATGAATCTGGAAGTATTTCGCCCATTTTTTAGCATATACACGTTCTAATTTCTGTAATTTTTACAATAAATTGTCCTTCGATGTTGGAAAATGACTTTCTTCAATTCAATCAAGTTCTGCTTTACAAGTCATCTGTCTTTCGAACAATATATCTTCAATTCAATTAATTATTAGTTGCTCGATAAAGAAATCTTGAACAGAACAGATTTTCTAAGCGTTTCACTTCTTGAATAAACGTCGAATTCAAGATCCACTTGAAAAATTGTGACAAATGACCTATCTGAAAAATATTTCAGTCTAATTCAAATTATATATTTGAAAGGAATAAACCATCATAGCAAAATGAGGAAATAAGTCAACTTCGTTACGGCCCATCTCTATATATAGCAATAAAGTTTTTAGAGATTTTTCAGAATAAAAGAACCTTCGAACAAAACAAATGGATCGAAATAATTTTTTTGTATTGAAGATAATTGTAAGAGGAACATTTCACTATAATATCTAATGATCAAATTATAGTTAAAAATGTGCTAGAAAAAATCAGATTTTCTCTGTTTCGTGTGTGATATCTTACTGCGTGACAAAACATATACGTACTCGAGAAATATCATCTGTCGTTAAGTCTCCAAGATGTTGATCTAGCAAAACTGATGTAATTTAATTCCAGATTTCAAGAAAAACGAAATATTTCTCGTAGTTGAAGATGAAAATAAAATTAGAAAATTATGTTGAGCCTATTTTTCTTATTGAAAGTAAATATTTGATCGTGTCGAGGATGTTGAACATTATCCTACTCTCTACAAAAAATATCTGTAGATTACAAAACGAATATCGATTTTGTAATTTGTTTCTGGTAAAAATCGATGTTCGCATCGTGCAATTCTAATTAACCGTTTCGCAGAATACGCTTGAACGTTTTTCTCATCATACAAAATCTTCATCCGTTTCGATACCAGGAGAAAAACGTACAACTATATTCTGTGAAGTGGTTAAGTAGGAGTGTACGATACGGATATCGATTTCTAACAGGAGCAAATTCCAAAACCGACCATCTGCTCTAACAAACACCGACGTTTTAATATGACACGTTAAACTTTTCCAAACGTATAAATTTTACTGGATACTTGATCATCTACTACGAGAATCAAGTACTAAATACATGTATTTGAATCAAGGGATCTGAACTCTTCCCAACTTACACCCGCAGTCTTAAACTGCTGCTTCTAATACACGAGTCACTATGCCTGAGAATAACTCAATCAACCATTACTCAATAGTGCGAATCATGTGATATTTTATGAGTCTGTATGTCAATTCAGTAGAATAATTAGCAGAAAGTAAATAATGATACTTTTATATTTACAGTTTCTATTTTACCTAGAAAACAGATATATTCAAATGTACAAAAAAAATGAAACTAAAACTAAGTCAAACAGACTTTGAAAAATCTTGAATTTTTGACGAAAAGGATACTAGAAAGTATAAAAAATTATGAAGTATAAAAACATTAAATAAATATTTCTAATTAATTTTGGACATTTTGATTTAGCAATTTTGACGATAGTATTGCCTAGTGCTGATTTACCAATCCAAAAGGCTTGTTGATCAGGATCATCAAAATGACTTATTCCTGAACCATAATCTTCTTTACAATTTAAAATTGTTCTAAAATTAGATAATGGAAAACATTTCTGTTAAATATGTCAAATATCAACTTATTTTTAAATTTACTTCTGTTTTTTTCGATCAGTCAAAATCCTATTAATTGTGTAATAATAATCGTTTTCTAAGACGGATATTACAGTATCGCTGCCAATCAAATGAACTGAAATGAAATTATTGAATATCTCATTTTTTTGCTTCTTAGACGAATTCACTTACGTACACCCATGATGAAAAAGAATTTATCATTTGGATTCTCTATCAAAGCCTGATGAATTCTTTTGGCCATTTCTCTATGACGTTTCATATCCATAGCATAATTTTCCATCCAAACTTCGGTACCATATACCTTTTGAAATCCATGCCACATACCCATTGCCGTTGCATAATCAAATTTTCCGCAATTATATTCATAAATAAAATTGTTTTCATCATTAGAATCACTTTCAGGTTGATTTTCAGAAAGATAATCAGTACCATACAATATTTTCGCTGTCTAACAAGGGAAAATATTGTGATTAAAAAAATTTAAGTTATAAAATGAAATTATTAAATAGATTTTTACATCATCGTTTTCAGTTCATACACAATAAGTGATTGTATATTAAAAATTTATTACACACGTTGTAGACTAGAATTTTCACTGTTAAATTTATATATATGTCCAGTCAGCCAAAAGATTTCATCACGTTGACGAAATTACTGACTCTATTGTTCTGTTTTGGTACGCAAAAACTATGCGGATAAATGTTTCTTCAGTGTGAGCACTACTACCTCTGACTATCTCTCTCTCTCTCTCTCTCTCTCTCCTTAACCAAAGACATTGTTGTGTGTTACTGTTTTTCTTTCATTGAAATATATTTAGGCATACAATGTTTTTTCAATAAATTAACTTCTCTTTCATTTTTGTAACAGTTTTTTGCTGATAAATAAAGATTAAGTATAAAAAAGATAGTTCTCACACATACCTGACAATGTGTTTCAATTGATTCCAATGGATTTGTTGTTTTATTTTGTTGTTTTGCTCGAAGTATGAGGTATTTATCAAGAAACGTATTATCATCTATTTTGTCTGAGAATTTATTTGTTAAAAAACTGATATTGTTTTGTTCAATACAATGCATAAATTGATTATACGTAACCGAATTCGAATAGTCAACTTCACCATAAACATGTTTGCTATTTTCAAAGACTTCTACGGTATAATCTGATACGGAAGGCCAAATTTTCAAATAAGAATAGTGGATACTACCAAAGAGAAAAGCGGATGATACATTTTCAATTTGCCATAACATCGTTGATAAATACGCCTAAAAACTGACGATACTACATTCATCATTTAGGTCAAATTTTAACCCTAGTGAATTGTACTTGGGCCAAGTAATGAAGACAGTACTTGTAGATTTTTCCAAGTAAATTTACTTGTCAAATACCTGTCCAAACATTTGCTTGACACAATGCAAGTAAATTTAGTTGAAAAAGTTCAGTCAAGTACTTATTCCATTTATTTTTATTTTATATTTTATACACATCCTGGAGCTATACTCTACTTTTGTAGAGCAAATACATGCACGGCCACTAAGTTTGTTCTACTCAGTAGAAATATCTAAATTTATTTTATAAGTGTATAACGATGGATATTGTGGTGTTTATATACAACTGATCAAAGCAAAAGAAAAGGGTGACTGACTTGTCCAAGTGCTCGGCTGAAGTAAGTCAAGCAACGACACATGGCAAGTTCTTGCTCAAGTACTTGCCAAATGCTTAACTTGTCACGTACTTTCCAAGTACTCATCAAGTAATCAAGTACTTGTACCAAGTACATCCACTAGGGAAGATTATATTTCAAAAAGTGATTTATATAATATTTGATGTCATTATGATTTGAGTATACGATTCATTCATAAGAAACGGTCTCATATTACACTACTTTGTTTGATAAACTTGTCTCTCGTGAAAGATACTTAGGCTCTAAAAAATATGTAAATTTTACCTTTACTATACATAGAAAAAAACTTGAGCGTAAGAGAAAAACAAGAGACATGAAAATAAATAAATTATGCTCTTTTAAATGTTTCAAAATAATGATATAACTTGTACTATATAAAATATTCTATCATATACACGTTTACATTGTGAACGAGGAAAAAAACTGCGTAGTTTCTCGTTTAATAAAGAATAGAAATTAAGCATTGGATTTCCTGTTTCTTTATTTCTACAAAATTTTATATATAGAAATATTGGATATAATTACTGAACATGAAAAAAAAGAAAGAAGAAAACTCATAAAATAATTGTCGTGTAAAATTTCGATATTATTGAAATGCTGGAAGACTTTAAATAGAAATCATGTGACGCATAACTTGCCGTGAAGAGGCCGAAGCTGTTCTTACTGAAAATTGTAAATAGAATCTTTACTGATCTTTGCTCTTCTATTCAATATGAGTGTAACAAAAGACTAGTTGATTTTGATATTTTAAACTTGACCTTTGTTTGTACTGAATCAATTTGTTTTATAATTCATTCTTTAATTACAGACAAATCTTAGAAACTTAAACTAGTCTTTACTATGTACGTAGTTCTCGCGACTCATTTTTTTGTCAATTTTCTTCCAGGAAAGTTGAGAATATATATAGAAACATATTATTAAGTTGGTTTAACACGCGATTGTGAAGCAAATTTATTAAAAAAAACTCGTTGAGTCAGGAAATGGTAGTTATCAATGAAAAAGTGTCGTTGTTTAAGGCCCTTCCCAGAAATGATCTTCGGCACCGTAGATCCGATCTTGACGAAACTTTCCATAAATGTTCGGCTTAATGAGTTGTGGGAATGAAAAAATTGTTTTTTTTCCAAGTCTTATGATTCAGGAGTTTTTCAGAGATCAGGGTCCAAAAAGGACCCTGAATCCTGAAGTGCTTCCCAAGATTTTTTAATTTACTTCAAGCTGGAGCGTTGGAGTTTAGTTTGTTTTAAGCTAGACGCCTAACTACATGGTCTGACCGGCGCCGATTTTTCAGTTAAGTCTTTATTGGTTTTCCAGGCAACCAACAACCTCCAAAACCCGAAAACTCCTCCGGATTTTCAAAAAATCCTCAGTTTGATAAAAAACTAAGACCTAATTCAAAAATCGGCGCCCGTCAATCGATGTAGTTTCTTTTCCTCTTTTAAACAAAAAAAATAAACTCTCTACGACAAACCGTTAAAAATCTTGGGAAATACTTCCGGTGTAACTCTTATATAGTGAAAATGCTGTATTAAACGCTGTATAAAATACTCAATTTTAGGACTTGTAGGAAAATGCCTGTAGCTTTTTGATGCGAGGTCATACTGAGTTGTGCAAGGTCTTATTTTGTTCAGAAACGTTTGCTCTACAAATATGTGTATTCAGAAAAATTTTAGTTTCATAAGTATCCAGCAGAAAGCTGTTATTTGAATATCCGGTTTTCCGAGACTCCTAGAAAGCTTGCTCAAAATCCCCGAAAATTCAATTCTGTAACCAAAAGCGATACAGATTCTGAAAGTAGACACTTCTGGCTACCTTTTATGTGCTTACCTCAAAACCAATTTTTTGATAGAAAATCACAATTTCTGAGGGGGGCCTCTTAAAAAAGACCATTATTCAACTATAAATTGTAAAAATTTTAAAAAAGGGCTTAAAGACTGTCCATAATAAAAGGGTATGTATTTTTTTGATCAGCAAATTTATTCAATGATATATTAAATAGAAAAATAAAGGAATATGGAGAAAATTTTGAAGGGATAGAATGACAGATAGAGACCTGTGCTTTTCAGCAATCAGTCGAGAAGATCTAGGCGCATCTTTGGATAAAACATAATGCCATAAATCTTTTCTCTAAACAGGCTTTTGAGAGGAGCCTCATTCTGCTGGGGAAAGTCGGAGTGAGAATATTTTGGTTTTTTCCATGAGTAGATAGCTCAGAGTGTTGTCGTCAAAATGAGAATCGTCCGTCTCCAAACCTCATCGTTTCGGAGTTACTGAGATGGTCGAAAGTACATATTTTGCATGACTCTCAGAGCTATCTACTCATGGAAAAATCCAAAATATTCTCATCCCGACTTTTCCTAGCAGAACGAGGCCCCTCTCAAAAACCTGTTTAGAGGAAAAAATGTTGACACGGTGTTTTATCGAAAGATGCGCCTGGATCTTCTCTATTGATTGGCGAAGAGAACGGGTCTCTATCTGTCACTGTATTTCTCACTTCAAAAGTTATTTAAAAAATCACCGAGTGTATTCATTTTTTTATAAAAAAAATTTGCCTATATAAATCTTTCATTATATTTCGTATCACATGTTGCAGAAACCGGCAATGTATTGTTTGAATATCGATAGAGTCATACACAACCAGTGTAATACATTTCTCTATTATTACCTCAAACGTAAAAATCAATTAAACTAATCTCTTTTTCTTAAATTTAAAAGACTTAAAGGTATATTTCAATATTAAGTTTTTTCATAGACAAGTTTGAAAATATAATAGTTTTCTCTCTGAACTTAAAATTAAAATATCTTGACCCTCTTATGGATTTCCTTGCTTGAGCTTTTTTATATGGATTTCCCTATCGAACAATCGCACTATTCATAGGATATATAACACTGATGTCAAAAGTACACCGTAGATTTTCACATTAAACATACCCTGATTTTTTGATTGAATAATATTAGCAAAACGTATATGATATACGAAGCCAATCGAATGAGCTAATTTTATTTGTTTATAAATTTCAATGAAACATCGCTTTTTATCATTCATGGAAGGTTACATAAACTAATACATTTTCCAACTGGATAAATTAATGAATATGCTTCATCTACAAGTTTATATTTAATCAAGCTGCATTTCTTAGTTCCATCGTTTTCACTGTTATTTAGTTCATTAATTTTGTAATAACTTCATATTCTTTTTTAATATTAAACCGAGTAATTTTCAATCTGAATTGCTTCATTTTTTATGCAACATTCATCACCATACTTGAACTTCCTCTACCTAAAAACAGAGACCTGTCACACATTTTCAGTTCAATTTACCACTCTGTTGACATAAAGTGGAACAGAAACGCTTCATCTTCTGATGCAAATAATCGAGCTATGAACTCCAAAGCTTGAGAACGTAAAGCCAAGTTTAGGAAGAATTCTGTCAAAATAAACTCTATAAGATGTGCAGTGTTTGTCTTTATAGAAGTGATAACAGTTACAATTGCTAATCGTAGAATGGTCTATCCTTCCGAAGATAGACTTGTTTACCTAGAGGATCTTTTCCATAATGAAATTGACTTAATTCTACATTTTCAACATAGCTTCATTATTATGGACCTTTGTCAATAAGCACAATTTCGCTAAATTTGGTTAAGGTATCACCATCTGTTGTTTCAAATGATTCAAACGTTGTGGACGGATATTCATCATTTCCTTCTTTAATATCACCACGTACAATAACACTGGTATGAAAATCAATTAATAAACCAAAAATATATGAACGTTTTGGAGTTAAATGCAGGATAATATCTAAATATTCTATTAATTGTCCAACATCTGTTCTGGTTAATACACGATGTTTTTTTGTTTTTTTATTAATTTCAATTACTCCACTGATGTAAAATGGTAAAAATTTCAAATCATCTTCACGTGCACATAATAGAATGTCTGGATCTTTCTTAATAAACGGTACTGTAAGATATGGTGATTTCTCATTACAAGTGTAAAATATGTGGTTCACATCTTGACTCTTTAAATAACCAACAATTTGCAAAGGTAAATGATTTTCTTTCGTTTTTTTATCAATAGCTAATGACCTTATTAATTCATTAAAATCATATGATGCTTGAATTATTGGCGTATCGAAAAATGAATCTACATCAGCACATTTACTTTGTGTGTAATTCGATGAATAATCAAGACGTGTTCTGGAATATTCAGACGGTTGAGATGAATCATAACCTAAATTTGACAGAAAGAAGAAGCTTATTACGATTCATTATGTAAGGGTAGAGATAATAATCAATGTGTTTTCCTTTTCTTCGTTTACAGTGAAATTTTCATTGCTCCGACAGTTTTGTTCACAACACCCTTCCGGTCGAATTATCACTCAAGGGATGGGCGCATATCCTATTTTCTCACTCTGTGGCTATGCTCCCGTCCGTGAATCTTGTTCAGCAAAAGATCCTATCATGGGAAGAAAAAACCTTTTTTCCTGGTGGCACCATCACCACTTGCAGATCACCAGAAAAAGTGCAGCTTCATTTCAAGTAACCTTATCTTTAACAATCTGTGAAGAAACGATGTTTTGCGTAGAAATAAACCTATCTTTTCCACTTTGATTTATCTTAGCAGCGTTTAAAGAGGATCATCTTAGCTAAAGTACACATGAATCAAGAAAGAAAGATGTACCAGAGATGTTATACTGAAAAATTCTAAGGTAATAATCTCCTCTATATTCTGGAAACTTATCTCACAGGAAAATAAACATAAACAAACAATGGACAACACGTGGACAAATTACTATTGAATTTTTTCTATAAATAGCTATAAAATCAAATTAAAGTTTTGAAACACTTAAAATGGAGTTAAACAGCACTAATTCAGCTAATGCTAACACCACTTCGTACGTCCGTTAAGCCATATTGACGCTATTTGAAATGAAGTAGAGAATGAAATTATATTTTTTCAAACGCAAATTAAACACTCCAAAGATTTTTATCCTACGTACATTATGTCATACCTTCTTGCAATATTTGATAAACATCAGACTCCTTATGTAACCAATTAGCCATACTAAATAATAACTACAATAATTAAAATAAATACTCTGAAATTAAGATAGACAACGCCCTGTAAATTAATGATCGATATCACAGTAAATAAAGAACAAGGAGTGAGCGAATAGAGCAAACTTCTGAACAACAGTCTTAGCAATCTTTATCAACATTTTTCATTTATCTCTATGGATAACTTTTTTTAACATTTAAAAACCATAGTAAACTCACATTTTGTTATACAAATAGAGATGCAACAGAACGTATGGATAACAAATTGCGTACGAAATGGTCAGAAAGAATAGAAAAAAGAATATGAAATGAGAAGTATCTACATTACTTAACACCTGTTAAGGACATCGTAATAGACAACAAGAAACAATAAATCACCCCAACACGTCATTTATTCGAGGAAATTCTGAAGTATTCTGCATGGTTTGTCGTCAAAAACAGGTTTGTTTGCCGAGATGCATCGTATTTGAGGCAGAGTTGTAACCGGTCTAGAAATACTAGACCGGTGCGGCCTGTCTAAAAGTATTTTCAGACCGGTAAAACCCGGCGAGTTCATCAAGGTTTTTCAGGTAATAAAATTGATATTACGGACAAAATTTTGTTCTGAATACCTAGAGATTTGTACGCCTGTCTTTTCTGTAATGCTTATACTGGAATTCTAGATATCAAAAAACCAACTAATATTTTCAAGATTGAGTTCTTCTGTATGAGACAAGGTTCCTTCCGACAAAAGTCGGTATTTAATTTTCTTTTCTTTTATTATTTCGTTCAAAATTGACGCGAGAAAATGGAATTTACATTTCAAATAAAATTGTCGCTCTTTCTTTCTTTTAAAAATACTACTAACCAGACATGCATAATGTCTTCCTGATGAAAAATGAACGAATATGCACAACTGTGTGCAACCGGTAAAAACCGATCGGTACCGGATAGAACCGGTTACAACTCTGATTTGAGGTGGAACCGAGGTAACACTGTTCAAACCACAATGCCATTAATCTTTCCTAGCCACCTATTTCATAGAAAGCATACAATCTGAATAGTCCTCCTCACTGCTCACGTCTCAAGTTTTCACAATCACTACCCCAGTGGATGTGCTTGCATGCAAGTACTTGAATCACTTTATCTTCTTGTCAAATATTTTGCCAAGCACTTGTTTTTCATCTGGCAAAATGGCGGAACAGAAAGAAGAAACAGTCTGATATATTTAAAAATGAGTGGCAGAGTAGCCTGAAAATAGACATGGGCGGGACCGGGACCGAAACAACTGTACGGGACCGGAACCAGAACCGGGACTAAAAAGCCTTGGGCCCGCCCATATCTACCTGAAAGTATAAACATATCTTGTTGAATAACTGGTCTTTTCTCTTTTCTGTGGAGAAAAATGTGACAAACGTGAAGCAAATGCCAATAGAGATATATCTCAGATATATGTATACCTCTATTCGAAAGCTAGAGGACTAATGTCTTCACAGGTTGGTGCAACAATAGAAGTGATTATATCAGAAAAAGCAATGGACAACGATGAACTAAATAATGCAAATTTAAAAAAAAATATTCTGATTTTATGATTTTGTATTTGGCTTTGTGAAAGTAGCGGCATTGTAGTACCTCTGCCATGAACGGCACATTACCACAGCAATAGTGAATTTATTAACTTTATCATTATTAATATCAAAAATATTGAACAATGTATACTATAACATCAGAGGCGCAGAATCTACATATGAGTTTGAAAATTTTCCACGAACAGTAAAAGTTTTGGGAAATTTCCACATTTGAAATTTAGAAAGAAGACTTCTGTGTTATTTCTTATTATTCGGAAATTTCTTAAGTGGGTACTTCTATTCAGGTCCACCCATCATTACCCGTCATGACCTCCGAGCCGCGAAGATCTCAATATCGCCACCGTGTAGAGCATAAAAAGTTAGCCGTAGAACATTAGACTCGTTTTCCAAGAAAACATGTGGAACATGATTTGCCAGAGGTCCAAAGTTTTAGGGACACTTTTAGGATTTTCCTCTCCAACCCTAAGAAAATCCTTGACTACTGTAGACGAAACTATAGAGGCATAAAACCTGAGTAAAATAGCGAGTGAATTAACCCGATAGTTATCGGTGTTTTTGAACAGGGGTCGGTTTAGTGAAAAAAATTGGAAAGCTTGAGTTCATATCTCAAAGTCATTCCGAAAATTTTTTCTAATATCAGAATAGATAGAGTTCATCGAGCTCTGCAAAATGGTCGTAGCCAAACTTTGAACCTCTGGAAAACCATGTTCCACATGTTTTTTTGGAAAACGAGCCTAATGTTCTACGGCTAACTTTTTATGCTCTGCACGATGACGATATTGAAATCTTCGCGGCTCGGAGGTCTCGTAATGGTGGGCGGACCTAAATGGAAGTACCCAAGTCTATATTCGACATAAATCATTGTTTTATTTAAACTTAACCCTTTGGCTCCCGGTGACGTATAAATACGTCTAGTTGCAATTATTGCATGATCATAATAGCTAGAATAAATTTGAAAAAAGATTTGAATAGCTGAAAGAATTTCCGATCT